CAGCCTGAACAGTCTTAGCTTTGGTAGGATTCATCCAGAGGAAGAAACCGTTATGTTAAAATCGTGTTGTTTATATGCAATCAAAACAAAGCATGGCGCGTATCTGAAGTTAAATTTTTGCTTTTTTCGAGCCCTAGCCTATTTTAGGTCCAAATTCAGACTAACATCGAAAATCGAAATGGGCGCCCATTAATTATTTGAAAATCAACTTTCTTTGCAGCAGCTTCATGGCTGTAAACCCGAATTTGGCCTGATATGGCAAATCAGGAGCAAAAAAGCATACAGGTTTAAACTGAATAACGCAGTGCTAAGCTCTCCCTTTCTATTTAGTGCAGCTACACACAGCGCGTTCGGCAGTATACGAGGTGCCGATATATCTTAATTTTTGGCTCTCATTTAGCATTTGATTCAAACATTTGTGGATGTATAAATAAGTACTTGCAGAAATATGGAAATGAATTCATCTGCCCACACAATGGTAGGTTCCGGCACTGAGGCAAACACGCGAATTGTCTCACCCTCAACTAATGAATGCTATTCCCAACAATGTGCCGAACGTAAAAAACAACTTTTGGAGGAGAACAGTCGCCTCCAAGGAAAAGTCAGCATTCAGTTACTTTAGTCCACAGAAGCACCCCTTCCCACTATACTAATTCGAATTGAATAAATTAATTGCTTTATTAGGTGATAAGGCGTATTTTGCACCCGCTCCAAGCTGCTTTGCAACTCAGAAAAAAAAAAACGCCTGCTTTGGCCATTCGAGGCAGACCATGCCACTTTTGCCGCTTTTTCAGCGCAAATGACATTGCTGAAACAGCAGTGCGTCACAAGCACTTTTTGATTCTAGCATATCGTTTAAAAATGGTGATTCACTTTAACTTCAGCCAACTCCACTGACCTAGTTCTGTATCTCGGCTCCTAGCTAAAGCGAATCAAAATCAAATTCGGTGCACAATCGACATCGCTTAGATGAAAAGAGAATCACAACATGTACTTCTGGCCGCTGTCGTTCACTGCACCTTCTATGAATTGTTCGTAAAAATGCTTGATATCGACAGCGCCACCATTGTGCACGCCTATCTGTTATTTCCAGGTTGAAGAGCAAATGTTGCGTCTGAATGATTACGAGGAGGATACAACATTACTGCGTAGCACTATTCGTTCAATGGAAGATGAAAGTAAGAAAAGCTTTTTGGCAATGGAACAGATGTCAAAGGAGATAGAGGAGAGGACTGCCGAGGCGCAAGCTGCCAATATGGCCGTACTGCGCTTTCAGGTGCGCTTTGTATTTGTTCCTTCCCATTCATCTCCTTATCAATTAATTAGTCGATATACAGAAGACTGCGCCATAAGTGGGAAAGCAATAGAATTGCTACAGTTCTTTGGACAACCATTCACGCATCCCTCCTATCTTCTCCAAGATGGAAGCCATCTTGTACCATCAAGATCGCTTGGAAAGCCAGTGTGAAGATTCGATTTTTGTGTTGGTGTCCGAATGTACACAAAAGCAAAGCGCAGCTACATCAACCACTTTGGCCCTAAGGCACGCAGTGATCTCCAAATTATCAGTTTAGTGTAACTATAACGAGTCAGTCATTGCAAAACATAAACAGTATCGAGTTTTTAATGCGTTTTTGCGCGTATGCAAATT